TATTAAAATATATATATCTATATATATGTACATGCCTACATGTCTGCATTAAAGGAGTATCTTCTTGTCTTAAAAAAAAAATAAATCCAAAGCATGTACTCCTGATGGTTCAGAGGATTAATCCTTGCTTCATTCTCAGATGTGTTCTTTTCTTCGTTTCAGAGAAACTCCTCATACCCATTTCAAAGAATGAAAGTAAACCTCTTCAGACACTCCCTAGTTTAGCTAAGCCCGCTGCAGCCCTGCAGACATTCAACAGTGCAATATTAACACCCGTGAGCAACAATAACACAGGCTTCTTGCGGAATCTGTTGAACTCTTCTGGAGGAAAGGTAGATGAAAAATTTTGTTTCACAGGTTCGTGTTGATAGCAGGCTTAGACAACTGTTCCAACCCTCTGAACGAGTACTACAGATGTTTGTCACAGTTGGTAAAATTGTGTCTTCATTTGGGAAAAAGGGCTTATTAAGTGTCTATGATGCAGTGCTCTGGTTTAAATCTGGAAACTGCATTTCTGTTCCTTGATATAAAGAAAGTCCTGTTCTGAGCTGCATTTCCTGGTTTTCTGCAGCGTTGCTGAAATGTAAATCAGAGCAGAACTTGTTATGCCAGAATTCTATAGACCAAGTGTCAGAAATGGCATTGGCATTTAATAATGGTGAGTTTGTGGATAGCAAAGTTCTGCAGATTTTTGTTTCTGTGCACAATTGTGAGCTCAAGTGAGAAATTTTGAAAGTGGCAAATGTCTTTAAAGTCTGCAGGATAAGGCAGCAGAAAAGCGCACCAATTATTTTGTTCTTCTTTCTCTCTTTTAATTTTTTCAATCAGACAGACAATGGACTCAAGACTACACCCAAAATACTTGATGACATTTTTGCTTCCTTGGTGCAAAACAGAACCATTACAGACTTGCCTAAGAAACCTCAAGGACTGACTATAAAGCCAACGATAATGGGCTTTGATACACCTCACTACTGGTTATGTGACAACCGCTTGCTATGTCTTCAAGATCCCAACAATGAAAGTAACTGGAATGTCTTCAGAGAGTGCTGGAAGCAGGGACAGGTATTGAAGTTTTTTCTGCTTTTTCAATTTTCACTTCATGTGCGTTGCCCTTTAATTGAAGGCAGGTACAAACTTACTGCAGTGATAAGCAACGCTAAACCCTCATAAAATGTGCCTCATGAATGCTGTTAGATCCTTGAATAAAAGGATGTGTATCTTACTGTTTGAAATCGGTTTCTAAACACACTGCTGAACTTATGGCCCTGTAAAAAGCTGCCTCACAGCTTGAAATAAAGAACGATCAAATGCATGGCACAATTCTGGTAAGGCAGGCTGAGCATTTATTTTGGAAATGCAGTGCTCACAAATCGCTGGTGTTCAAATGTTCAGTACATTCTTAAGAATATATTTTTCTTCTTCTTCATAGCCTGTAATGGTGTCAGGAGTGCATCACAAATTAAATGCAGACCTCTGGAGACCGGAGTCCTTTAGGAAGGAATTTGGCCAACAGGAAGTAGATCTGGTTAACTGCAGGACCAATGAAATCATCACGGGAGCGACTGTAGGGGACTTCTGGGATGGATTTGAAGATATTTCAAGTAAGTAGTGTGAATTTTTGTTTCAGTAGATAAAATGTTCAGCAGCAGTAATTTTGCCCTAGCACAAATTTGTCATCTTTAAGCAGCATAAAAGATTTTCCAGGGTTTTTCCTCATTCTGGACAGTGTGTCTGCAATCTGTTCTCACCGTGTGTGCTTGTGGGAGTGAAACATAAAAGAGCTTGTGTAGGGTTGGTGCTCACAAGGTAATTGGGTTCTGCTGTTTTAACTTGCAGCTGCCTTTTTGTTCCTGAAGAACTAAAGTTACTTTGTATAAAAATGGGTTTAAGGGAGGCAAGCATGAGGTTTGGCATTGCTTTCACTTCTGGGTGAAACCAGACTTTTTCCAGGAGAATTAATACTTGCCGTGGCATCTGGGGTTCTACTTCATCTGCTTGTGTGGTGTAACCTTACAGAATTGAGTACTTGGGGAGAGAAGATTGCTTTCAGTTCTGGGTGAAACCAGACTTTTTCCAGAATTAATGCTTGCCGTAGCATCTGGGGTTCTACTTCATCTGCTTGTGTGGTGTAACTTTACAGAATTGAGTACTTGGGGAGAGAAGAGTGTGAGCTGGAAAGCTCACTTAGACCTTTCTTTTCTGTTACTCGATCTTTGAAAAGATTTGGCTTTACCATCAGCTGCTCTTGCCTCAAACACTAAACAGCTGCCTGAGCTAAATTGTAGGAGGTGCTTGGGCAGGGGAGCTGGTAAAGGCTGCTTGGCTGCTCTGAAATCTCCTGTCATAACACATTTGTCACAGCAGTAATAGCCAAATGTGCTGTCAGATGAACTTGTGTGGCTTTGGTTCTACATTAGTGGTTGCGGAATGAACGTTATTTTAAGCTAAGTATTTCATTGTCTTGCTTCTTTGGATTTTGAGTTGTACAACTACTAAACGCTAAGACTTCCTAATATGTGTTAATAGGTCGCCTGAGAACAGAAGAAGGAGAGCCAATGGTGTTGAAGCTTAAAGACTGGCCTCCAGGAGAAGACTTCAGAGATATGATGCCTTCTCGGTATGAATTTACAAAGGAACTGTTCATCATTTGTGTGGTACACCCCCAAACTGGAATGTAGGAATATTACTATATTTTGACACCTCCTAAGCAGTTGCTCACATGTGAACCGTTTTGGTTCTCAGAGGGTGAGAGCCTGGAAAGGCTAAACGAGTTTTATGATAAATATTTATGTAGTTCATTGTATTTATTGCCAAGTAAAGTGACCTAAAATTGCCACTGATCGGATAAACTTTGGAAGCTTCCTATAAGTCTGAGTAATTCTGAAATCTGAAGTTCAGTTGAAGCTTATTTTTTTTTTCCAAAAGTTTTTTTAAGTATTCTGATTTATTCTGTTTGGTATTAGTTGAGATGATTACACAAGCAAATAGCATTACTCCAGAGCAGTTAAATTTGTTTATCTGCTCTACTCCTGTATCTTGCTTGTTTTGTTCCTTTTCATGGTGTCCAGTTAAGCCCCTGGGCAAAGAGTTTCTTGACTGGCGAAAGCTTTTGTTGCAATCTATTTCAGTCTGCTTTTTTAATCTGTTCCTAACTCTAAATTGTGCTCTATTACTTCAGGTTTGATGATTTGATGAAAAATATTCCATTGCCAGAATACACAAGGAGAGGCGGCAAGCTCAACCTTGCCTCTCGACTCCCCAACTATTTTGTACGACCAGATCTGGGCCCTAAGATGTACAATGCATATGGTAAGGATTTATTTCACTCTAAAGGTCACGCTGACCACACATTCAAATTAAAATTTACTGTAAATTAAACAAATCCTTGCATTTGTCAACAATCCCATTGATCCGAAAACTTAATTTTGGCTTACTTAAAGCTATTAGTGGTGTCCAGAGGATTATATGATTTTATCAGATGTTTCTTGTCCAGGTAGTTTCAAGCCAATAATATTTATTCCTAGTCTTCCAGTCAGCTTGCTCCAGATGTGCATACACAGCCTCTCTTTCCTGTAGCTGGCCACATGCATTTGTCATTTCGCTACTTCTGGCTGTATCACTTTTTTGTTACTTCTCCTTTTAGGCTGTATCATTTAGTTTTTAATGTCTTCTTGAGCAGTTCTCTCCATCGCTGCTTCATCTGCTGTCACTCAAAAGGCATTTAAAATGAAGCATGATCTTGGCCAGTGAAGATATCATGCTATCAATACTGAAACAGCTGCCTTTTAGAGTGAAAAAGAGACTGTTTCTGAGAACGCTTTATTCTAAACTGCTATAGAAACTCTTTTCTGGCAGGCCTTAAACATGTTGTATCTGTCATGCAGGCTAGCTATAGATGCAGATCAATGTGTCAGCTTGACGTGACAGCCTGTAAATTGGTCAGTTGGGAAGACGCAAACAAGATGGGACAAGGTCCTGGATATAAAATACATTGCTGTACTGGAGTCGTTTGCTGATAAAAGGAAAAGTTCTCTGGTCTTTTCAGATAGCACTGCTGAGAGTGATATAAGGTTTCTTTTTGTCTGCTATTCTTTTTTTTCTTTTCTTTTCAGGCTTAATAACACCAGAGGATAGAAAATACGGCACAACAAACCTCCATTTAGATGTGTCTGACGCAGCTAATGTCATGGTTTATGTGGGTATCCCCAAAGGCCAGGCTGACCAAGAAGAAGGTAAAGTCTTTCTGTGTTCTGGAAGGGTTCTGTGGTTGGAGGGAAGGTCCATTAATGTAACTGCTCGTGTTTACTCTCAACAGAAGTGCTTAAAACTATACAAGATGGTGATTCTGATGAACTGACAATTAAGCGTTTTACTGAAAGTCGAGAAAAGCCTGGAGCTCTGTGGCACATTTATGCTGCTAAAGATACAGAGAAGATCCGGGAATTCCTTAAAAAGGTGAGCTGTTATATCTTAAAAACTGATCTTTTGTCTGTGTAGCCTTGCAAATACATATCCTTGGACTTTTCTCCTCCTTTCTATCCCAGTTGTTCTGGAAACAAATGCACTTCAGATGTATCCTAGACAAAACTTCTCATGTGCCATGAATCTTGCAGGATCTGAGGGTGGTGGTGAGCTGAAGCATTAAGATATCCCATGTGTAAATACACTGCTTTTGCCCACACGTTTTGTAGCACACAAAAGAATTAGCTGGTTTAGATTTAAGCAAAAAGAAAGTTTAATCTTCATCTGGATCCTTAAAAGCACGCATGTGAGATGTTCTTGGGAAATGTGGTACGCAAAGTCCTTCCTCCTTCTCTCCCTCTTCCTACTTTTTTTTTATTCCATACCTTTATGAGATTTGGATTAAGGGAAAAGCATGAGGTATTTTGGGTGATGTTTTCATGGGAGATAAATATTTAGTAGAGATGTGATATTGCATCCAAAAGGGCTTGTCTCAGTATTTAAATTCACCACAAATGATCATTGTGGTTTTAATTCTGGAACTTCTTTTGGTGCATTAAAAGGGGAAAGAGCAAGTATGTTGATGTCAAAAGGATAAATGAGATGATCTGAACCCTGTCAGCCTGACTGTTGTCTTAGGTGGAAGCATAGAGAGGCTACAGCAGGTTTGGTCCGTGTTAACGAAGAACAAATCTTATACTTGATAAAACACGATATTGACTTTGATAAGCGTTGGCATTTTGAGCTTTGACATCTGCGTCTCACACCTCTTGTTGGTCCCTTGCCTGCAGGCGTGAGGCTTTTCAGCAGCTTGTTTTGGAGTAGAACAAAGCTGTTGATCTCCTCCCAGCTGAGGATTTGGGCTACAGTCCTGGGTGTAAACAATCATGGCAAATTGAATCATAGGATCACACAATGCTTTGGGTCGGAAGGGACCTTTAAAGGTCATCTACTCCAACCCCCTGCAGTAAGCAGGGACATCTCCAACAGGATCAGGTTGCGCAGAGCCCCGTCCAAACTGACCTTGAATGTTTCCAGGGACAGGGCCTCTACCATCTCTCTGGGCAACCTGTGCCAGCATTTCACCACCGTCATTGTAAAAAATTTCTTCCTTATATCTGGTCTAAATCTGCCCTCAGTTTGAAACCATTGCTCCTTGTCCTGTCACAACAGGCCTTGCCCCAGGACAATTAATTGGATTTACACTGCAACTTCTTGCAGAAATTCTCCCCATACTCCTCGAATTTCTCTTCTAAAGTACTTCTTGTGCCTCCCAACTTCGTTTCTCCTAAAAATCTTTCATTGTGTAACTCTTGTACCTGAACACATGGTGGAAGTCGCTCTATCTGGTGTGTGTGCATGTGCAAACCACTGATAGGTAGAGACTGGCACGTTGTAATACCTGTCTTCTTGTGACTTTTCAGGTTGCAGAAGAACAAGGTCAAGAAAACCCAGTCGATCACGATCCCATTCATGATCAGAGCTGGTACTTGGACCGATCGCTAAGAAAACGCCTTCACCAGGAGTATGGAGTTCAAGGCTGGGCTATTGTACAGTTTCTAGGGGACGTAGTTTTCATTCCAGCAGGAGCTCCACACCAGGCAAGGACCAGGGCCGCTGTTACAGCCTGGCCACTTGGGCAGATGTTTGAGCACATGGCTAATGCTTGTTTGTTCTCTCTAGGTTCATAATCTGTACAGTTGTATTAAAGTTGCAGAAGACTTTGTATCCCCAGAGCATGTCAAGCATTGCTTCTGGCTCACTCAGGAATTTAGATATCTATCGCATACGCATACGAACCATGAAGATAAATTGCAGGTAACTCACTAATGCTCAAGGTGAACTCTTTAAAAATAAACCAAAAAGCAAACAAAAAACCCCTAAACAACCCTCACCAAACCCCTAAGGGGTGTGTCTGCACACCCCAAGTTGCTTTCATGTTCAGATCAGCTTTAATGCATTGGACCTTGTAGAGGAATTTCCACAGGTTTCTGAATTGTTACTGGTTTTTAGTAATTCTGAGGAAGTCTTCTGAAGCTTCTCCTGAGATTCTTTAGAAATGTTTCCTTTTTCCATTTCTTTTGTTTTCCCTCTGGCTGAGCTTGCAATAGTCTCCTCAAGCTACAGGGTTTCAGTTCATAGCTTGTTAGAATTTGAACCTTCTTTTCCCAAGTTTTTTCCTGAAGCTCACGCAGATAAGTGTGTTTGACCTGAAAAAACTGCCCGGGGTGTGGGAAGTGGGAAAGTTCAAGTGGGGAAGTGGGCCCCTCAGTTCAAGAAGAACAGGGAGTTGCTTGAAAGAGTCCAGCACAGAGCCACAAAGATGATGGAGGGAGTGGAGCATCTCCCTTACGAGGAGCGGCTGAGGGAGCTGGGTCTCTTTAGCTTGGAGAAGAGGAGACTGAGGGGAGACCTCATTAATGTTTATCAATTCGGAAAGGGCGAGTGTCAGGAGGAAGGAGCCAGGCTCTTCTCAGTGACAGCCAATGACAGGACAAGGGACAATGGGAGCAAGCTGGAGCATAGGAGGTTCCATGTGAACATGAGGAAAAGCTTTTTTACTGTGAGGGTTACAGAACGCTTGACCAGGCTGCCCAGAGAGGTTGTGGAGTCTCCTTCTCTGGAGACATTCAAGGCCAACCTGGACGCGTTCCTGTGTGACCTGGTCTGGGTGATCCTGCTCTGGCAGGGGTTGGACTGGATGAGCTTTCGAGGTCTCTTCCAACTCCTGAGATTCTGTGATTCTGTGAAAGTTGTGTTTTCTGTATGTCAGAGGCTTCCAGCCTGAGCAGGCTGTGTGCTGTACAACTGAAGGCCTTTTCTGCTCCCCCCAGGTGAAGAATGTGATCTACCACGCTGTGAAAGATGCAGTTGGGATACTGAGAGCGAACGAATCCAGCCTTAGCAGACCGTGATGCAGAAAGCCTTAACCACACACTATGGAACGGGAGCGTTGGCAGCTGTTTTAACTACTCAGTCAGGACCTCTGTGGACTTTGAGATTATATGAATGTTACCTCATCTTCCTTTCGGCAGTACCAGAGGATCGTGGTACTATGTTCTGTGTATTCTTCCAATGTTTACAAACCTGATATGTATATGTAGTAATATGTATGGACTGTGGCATACTGTGAATGCTCAGTTGCAATAGAACTTTATACGGAGTTGCTCTCCAAACTGTACAAAATACCTCCTATAGAACTGTTGGAAACTATTCCAAATTACTCCTTTGAAAAATACTATTCAAGACGTTGTAAAGCTCCAATTTTTAAAATTTATTTTGGGGTGGTGGGAGGAAGTACGGAGTCACCCAATTTCATAACCAATATACAGAAAGATCAGAATGCAGTTCTGGAATTTCACGTTAACATAGAACTAGCATTTAAAAGTAGCTTTAAGCTATTGTATAGTAACATAGGGATGGGGGTTGCCCATCTTTAGGTAAATGTATTTAAATTTCTAAATGTTAAAAGAAGCTTTTAATCAAATGTCTTCTGTTTGAAACTGCTCTTTAATTTGAACTGATGTTTGATTCTCTGGTTTTTAACACTGAATGGTCTACATAAAGTTCTTCTATTTCAGATATTGTTCTTTGCCTGGCTTCTTCATTTGACTCTGAAACGTAACTGATTTGATGCAGTGCTTTAAAACGCAAAAGAAAATGGTTTATCATATACTGTTCATACTGGTTTTTAAAGTACCTGAAGGTTTAGGGTATTGGATTTAGCGACAGATCTGTTGATAGCTTTTGTTGGTTAACCAAAATGTAGCTTAGTGTGATTACTGCTTCTCAGCCACTACCAGTGCTGTGGTCTGCATCAAGTGAGATTTGCAGCCTCACTCTTAAATGGCACACATCACTTCAACTGAAAATATCGTAAACCTCCAAACAGGGAGACAGTTGAGAGTGGAAAAATGCCTCTTCCATCTAACAAGATCAGCTGTGTTAAGATGTGTTCTCCAGTGACTTGCAGGGAGTTGGAGTCTCTCAAGTCAGAATAAAGTAGGACAGCAAAAGTTCTGTTTGCTGTGAACAGATACCTCTGCATCTGTCCTCAAAATTGAGCCAAAAGCAGGCCCCAGAGCAACTGAAGCAGCAAAACAAATGATTTTGGCCTGGCCCGATCCCTGTGTGTGCCTTCCCAAGGCAGTGGCCTGCTCCAGGGGAGGCCTCTTGTGCTTCAGACCTGCAGGTCTTTAGGTGACCACCTACAGCTCACTTAGCCTGTGCCAGATGCATAATGCTGGGTGAGAACTGAGGTAGCTGTGAGGTGGTACAAACCCTGCAGTTGTCCCCTCTTGCAAGGAAAAGGTCCAGTTGGCCTGTGCTGCTAGCGCAGCTTCTGCTCAGCAGCACAGCTTCACTGGGTTCACAGAATCACAGAACGTTAGGGATTGGAAGGGACCTCAAGAGATCATCCAGTCCAATCCCCCTGCCGGAGCAGGAACACCCAGATGAGGTTACACAGGAAGGCGTCCAGGCGGGTTTTGAATGTCTGCAGAGAAGGAGACTCCACAACCTCTCTGGGCAGCCTGGTCCAGTGCTCTGTCACCCTCACTGAGAAGTTTCTTCTCAAATTTAAGTGGAGAGGCCACGTGCTGAGGCCTCTGACAGTAAATACACTGGCTTGTTTCTAGTTGCTTCAGCTGCCTTTAGTTCTGAAGAGCAATAAAGCCTCGATTTGGCGTGTCATGCTAGAACTAGACAAGCATCCTTAAAGGCAGTGCTTTAGCCGCATGTGCTTTCTTGGAGTATTGAGTAAATGAAATAAAGCAGTCAAACTGCCTCTCTGGGAAGCAGCAGGAGTATTTGTGGGGAGCTGGCACACCGCTGCCTTACCTCCCAGTCTGTGACAGGAGTCACGCTGACCTTATACACACGTCTGCAGGTACACGTGTGTGAAAAGCCCCATTGGTGAAGTTGGATTTTGAGCTTTCTTACATTTTGAACTTGCTTACCAATGAGCTGTTGTTCAATCTGGTTTTATTGCAGCTGTTATCTACCCAACCTCACTGACTTCAGCTTCTTCAGCTGCTTTTTTTTCCTTTCTGATCTGTCCTCTCTGGATTTTGAAGACCACAAGAAACGTAGTGCCATTTGCCTATTCTTGTTACTCCAAAGGAGAGCCCTGAAGCGTTAGGGTTGTTTTGCCACCCGCAGGTGAACAGAGCTTGGCCCCTCCTGGCTTTTTATGGCCGTAACTGGAGGCTGCAGGACACGAGCCAGGCATCCACCCTTGCTGTTGGAATACAGTTATTTATAGGGTGTGCTGTGTTTCGGGAAGTCTTTCTTAAAGTTAGAAACTCTTTCCTTTGCCTGTGAGGCTCTTGTAGCAGTGACACATTCAGGTGAGAGGCACAGGGGATGCTTGCTTTGCAGGTTTGCCTGAAGTTTCTCCTTGAGAGGAGACCCAGCTCTCCTTGTGGCTTGGAGTCCTTTGACTCTAAAAACATGGCACTCAAACATCCACCCCTCATCATTTCTCATCGCTTTAACACTCAGTGAGGCTCTCCCATGAACATCAGTGCCTGGACACAGCTGCTCTGACTGCAAGCTTTTCTTGAACTGTGCTGTGAAGTCCTTAAAGGTGCTAAAAAGGAAAAAAAGAGTGTGGTGTAAAACCAGGAGGGAGCTGTTAGAGGTGGATAAGGAGTGTGAAGTGATGCAAACTGCACAGATGCATGGGGGCAACTGTTAAAAGCAGCTTTAATAAAATTTGTAGTGATTCAGAAAAACAAAGATTTTACACCACTGAAGGTTTCTGGTAGCAGATGAAGCCAAAGTGCCTTTTAGGG